TTTACATTATCTTTCATGTTCTTTGAGTCAGCCTTCATAATTTCATTCTTCCAAAACTTGGTATCTTTCTGGGTAATGAACAGGTCTAAGTTTTTTTTATTAAATGTTTCTATAGAATTGAAGTTCTTTCCATTAACAAAAGTCACTATTCACTGACAAAGTGAGGCACTGTATAGCCTCTGACAAGTTTATTCTAAGGATTACCGGCAGCTCTGTAAGAGTGTGTTGAACAAGAATAAATTCTTAATCCTCCCACTAGTCTTCAATCAGTTTAAAGTATTGTCATTTACTCTTGATAGAAAAGAATACCTTACTTGGAAATTTCACAGGAATAGTAGCTATAACTAGGGTTACAATTTTAGCTCTTTCTGAACTCAACATAAATTTTTTATAGGTGTGATAAAGCAGAAAAATTCTTCTTCACTTGCTTAGCTATATATTAGATTGGAACAAAAGAATATAGCATTCTTTCTCACCGAAGTCACGTAGCTTCACTGTCTTTTCTACAAATATTTTTATGACAACTGTTCTGACGAGTTTTTTTCCCTAGTGCATCGACTACGTAAATTTATGCGTGCTACTAGATTGGAATTTAGGTCCCACCCTTTTACTCTTGAAATAGCTAGATGTAATCGCCACTTCTACTGCAACAGTTTTTTTCTCGCACTTCCCTCCTTTGGAAATCCTTTCCGTTTACTTTCTTCCCTGATAACTACAATCTTCAAAAAATTAAATGCAACGTCAATCGTCATCATCTATCTATCTTGTATCTATCTTTAATCTTTTCCTTAGTCCCCCCCTCCTAGACCCAGTATTTTCTCTCACTTCCATTCTTTGTAGCTGCCTGCGTAATTGTAGTATTCCCGCTTTGCTTGGAGTGAAATGATTTTAAAAAAACAGAGGGAAGCCATGTGCCGTCGGTGAGAAAGTGTACATCTCCCGGCCTACGCTTTAGACCTTTTGGAAACAAAGTCGCATGGGCATTGCAGTGGCCACAACTTAGCCAACGGAACACACCTGTCGGCTAAACTATGTGAGGGTAATCGAATATATTTCCCGACCCGACCAGTGGAGGGGAACGTCTTTCCCCAACCGACCTGTGGCAAGCGGCCATCCGCCAGTCGCCAACCTGAGCGTAAGTGCTGTGCTTTAGAGGTCAACAGCTTTGCCTGTGGGGGAAGGAACTTCCAAGTAGAAGGACGGTGTAACCTCATCATTCGTGGTGCAAAATGAACAAGGCAGGACTATTGCACTATTTTGTCTTGAATGTCACTATGGAACACAGTTTCAACAGAATTAGGGGAAATGGCGAGCGCTTGCGCGGAATGAAAGGATGAATATAAAATAAATCTATTATTTGGAATTGGAATGAGAATAATATTATTTTAAGTTTTATCTTAAGTCTTAGTTCTTGAAACATTTTCTAAAAAATGTTGGTTTCTGTTCTAAGTTCATTCCGAGTATTGATATCTATGTCATTAGCATCACGCCTCATTATCGATGGAATCTAGAAGATAAACAGGGCGCTACTTTTCTATTAGTAGCTTCGTTTGCTATGCGGTGCAATATATTTAAATGATCTCAGCCAACCATAACGGCAATATCTCTATTGTGGCACCATGTATCCTGACGATTTGAAAGAAATATTTATAGATATATGATTTGCTTTTTTACGGTTTATCAACCATTTGAGGATTATTTAAGGCCGAAAAATATTTTAAGTTTTAAGAATAATTCTTTCTTTACATTCAAGCGATTTGGGAGAAAGAAAGAGAAAACGAAGAAGAAAGAAAGAAAAAGTAATACGAGACGGGTCATAGGCGAAGACACACACACACACACACGGCTTAAGAGACGGAAAGGAGGAGGGAAAAGGTTATAGTTGATAGATATCAGATGTCGAAAATATCTAGGTCACCTACGAACAAGCGTTGACCGATTTCCGCTTGTCCACGAAAAATGGAATTTTGTTATCAATGGATGTCACCAAAAAGAAGAAATCGATTGTTGAACATTGACGAAACACAGACAGTCTTCACTGGGTGTGGAGAATCAAAATCCCACAGAAGTGGTTTTCACTGGCTAAGTTTTTCTTTTTGACAGAATAGACTTTTGCCCTGCGATAATAAAGATTTTTTGTTATCAACACATGGGCCGAAAGAAAATGAAATATTTTTATTTTTGGCTTTGGAGACGCCAAGTTGACTAGGAAGATTTCTTTCTTAGGCCATGTCCAATTAGCGATAAACTGCTTGACAAACGCCACGTGTTGAAACCGAGGGTTGTCATCTCGGCCGCTCATGATAAGGGCGATTTAATTAATTTTTTTTAGTTAAGCAAGGTATTTCTTTCCCAAAACAAAGACACGGGTTGTTCACGCCCGACTAAGACGTCATTGGCCAAGTAGATCACATGACGCACGAAGTAGGAGGAAAGATACCCGACCAGGACCTCATTGGCCGAGAGTGGTCACGTGACGCACGAAGAAAATCAGTCGACGCCCCCATCCAGAGTATAAGTATGAGAAGCCGCTACGAGGAAGTGGGGAGGGCAGTTCACGCCCCTCAGAAGCATGGTGAGAGAGTGGGAGTGAGAAAAGAGTTACCAAAAATGGAAAAGAGTGGAAAATCCCTAAGCAGAAATAAGAAGGGTGGATACGTATTATCGAAGAACCCCTGGCGCCGACAGACCCACCCCAGTTTTGACGGCGTCAATAAAAACGAAGCCCCACCAGACAGAAATCAGTTCATCTCCGGACGGCAGGCAGAGTTCGTTCGCCCCTAGCGGGCAGAAAAGGTCAGTTCGTTTGGCCCTGAGTGCAGAGTTCGTTCGACCCAAGCTGGCGAGAAGTTCGTTCGCCCCGACGGCAGAGATGAGTGCCCAGTAGTTCAGAATCTGGAGAGAAGAAGTTCGCACACCGACGGCAGAGATGAGTGCCCAGTTAGTTCAGCCCCGGAAGGCAGAGATGAGTGCCCAGTGTTGAAACCGCATCAAGATAGCTGACCAAGATTCACGCACATTTTTGGACTCTTCTTCAACCAAGAACAAGTAGTTTGAAGAGCGACTTAGAACCAGACCACAGAAATAAGTTTTTTCGACTTTCGTCCAAAGACACACCGAAACACAAATTTCTTAGAGAGTAGACAACTTGAAGCGTTAAAATTTGCCTAGCGGAAGCGTCGTGCCACAATCCACAGAACGGGTCGGGAAGTAGACACAGTCCTATGTACCGAACAACTAGACATAAAAAGTTTGTTACCTTTTTCTTTGATACTTTGAACTTTGTGAGTTTTCATTTTCTTTTCTTTTATACATATTTGTGTGTTATCACCCCCGTTGAACTCAGCTTGCATTACGGCCCCAACCCCTGTTTGATCTCGACTGTCTAAAATCAATTCACAACGTGGGTAGGCAGACTGGAGATCAGTGCAGTTACCCTGGTAACCAGGCGTTGGAAGCAGGTTGGGAACGGCGAGGATGGTATCAATCTAACCAGATTCCTACCCGAATCACCAAAGGGTTAGAACGTCACGTTTAGAGCAGCGGCACCCGGACGGAGCGGCGAGGAGCGAACAGCTGACGCCGCGGCGAAGACGTCACAATTGGTGCTGTTTAGGGACGTCACAACTGGTGCCGTGGTAGATCAGGATAGAACGTCACAGTCGACGCTGCGACCGGGGGACGACGTCACACTATAGTGGTTCGAATCGTGTCTGTTTTTTTACTAAGGTATGCTTAATACCTATCAAAATGAAGGCCTACCAATATGAACAAAGTCACTATTGACCAAAGCATAGCTGCATACATGAGAATAAGCAGTGGGTCAATTTTTATCCTGACACGTATATTCAATCATATATCTCTCTGCCTTTTGGTGTGTCTTTGAAGTTATATTTGTTTGATGATGTTATTTTCTATCTATATACTTATTTGTAATTATTAGTTTATTCATAGCTTTATTTGTCCATTTTTTTTTTTCGCTTATAAAAACTAACGCAAATTTATTTGTAAGTCCTTTTCTTTGTTCTTCTTCACACACACACACACACACACACGCCTGCGCAAGCGCACAGTGACCTCACACAGATATTCCCCGCCCGGTCTCAGCCCAAGCTTTCGCTTGTGAATATTTGTCTCTTTTCTGAAAGTTTTGATCTTTTCCCCATTATCGTCTCTTCCTCAAGTGCAATGGCGAACAGATATCAGAACGAGTCTGCAATATCAGACGAAATGATTGGGTGCGGCAAGACAGACGGCATCTTATCTGATTCCAATTATACT